GCCGGGCTGGTGCTCGTGAGGTCGGCGCCGGCCGCGGTCGAGGTACTGCTGGTCAGGGTGCGGCTATGCGGCAGAGAAAGCGCCGGCTCCTTGCCGAGGAGCCAGAGGATGCCGAGGATGGGGTGGAAGCCGAGGTGCGGAATGAGGTTCTGCCGCCTCCAAAGAAGAGCAAGACCGCCGAGGTCGAGAAGGCGTCTCTTGTCGGCGAATCGTCGGCCTTCGTGCACCAGGCCGGGTCTTCCACCTACGTTCCGGTGAACCCGAGCCGCAAGGCCAGCCTCTCCAAGCGACTCGAGCGATTTCCCGACCAGTGGTTCATAGACTCGAGGTCGGCATTTCCATTCGACTTGCCAAACCCCTATCATCTGCCGGGGGATGTGATGTCCGCGGCGCGTGCCGTGATGACTGCCTGGACCCCGGTTGCGGAGACGGCGGTGGTCATACTCTCCCTCATGCAGCTTATCCAGCACTCGATGGCGACTACGGGCCGGGCCATGGTCGAGCTGGTGCACCCTGCCGTGGCGATGCAGAGAGAGGTTGCCGCCCACGACAAGGCCGAGAAGGATCTCGCCACCTCCAGGGGCCGGATCAACAAGCTAAAGGATGAGACCAAGAAGGTCTCGATGTTGGAGAATGAGCTCATCCTTCAGCGGGGGGCTGCCGCCGTGGCGGAGAAGGCGGCCGCCAAGGCCGTTGAAGATATAGCCCGCAAGAGGACAGCGTGGGCCGAGAAGATAGACGAGCTGGAGATGAGGCGGGCTACCGAGCTGTCGAAAAGCGAGAAACGCCAAGCTGATGAGGTGGCCGGGTTGAAAGAAAAACACAAAGCCGACCTAGCCCACCTCGCCGAGCTGCACGCCGCCGAAGTTGCCACGCTAAAAAAGAAGCATGAGGAGCAAGTCTCCGAGCTGGCAGAGACTACGGCAAGAGGTTGACCTCCCAGGTCTGCCTCTTGAAAGAGGCCGCAAAGCAGATAGACGGCGAGCCCATCGCTCTCCCTCTGCCGGCGATCTTCGCCGAGGTCCAAGTTCAATACTTCGAGGAGATGAAGGAGAGCATGGACATCTTGGCGGCATTCAACCTCTATTGGTTGTTCCAGCGGCTCGACGTTGTGGTGCTCTCTCTCGAAGACTTCAGGGTCATACTCTCCGAGAAGGCGGGCCGGTACGACCTGGACTTCGAGGGCCAGATCTGCGAGGTCGATGCCGACGAGGCTGCGGTGGTCCGGAAGCTCCGAGGTTGGGCCGACGACGTCGTCGTCGGCTTCAAGAAGTTCGGCACCATCCCTTCTTCGGAGACGTGGCGATTGGCCCCCGGGGAGTTTCTTCCGGACTACGATCCGTTCGTACCCGAGGCTGACCCAGACCCCGAGTTCCAGCCGAGACGCGGTGCCGTGCTGACAGTGGTCGCAGAGATGGAGGAGGCAGAGGAGGCTGCGGTAGCGGTGAAGGTGGCGGCGGATGCCGAGGCGGGCGTCGGCACCTCGGGGACCAAACGGGCCGATGCTGAGGTGGTGGCCGGCACCTCTGGTACCAAAGAGGCGGGGGTTGAGGCTGAGGGACGGGTTGCCTCTCAGGATGCCGAAACTGCCCCTGAGGGTTCCGAGCAGGCCTCCTAATTGCTTTTGTTACTTATGCCGGCCTGCGCACCGAATGTTGACCACGTATGGTTTTTTTTTAAAACAATTTGTTTATGTGGAAAATATTTTAACTTTGTTTCGGATGGATGGCACATTTGCTTTTGTTTATGTTGGATGAACTTTCTACTTATGCATTTCTGCGAATCTTTTCGCTCTTTTTGTTTATGCATGTAGTTTAGGTGTCGGTCTGGCCACTTACTATTTTAATTATCCAGGCCCCGTGGCCGAGCCACAGATCAGGCTTGGCTCTTTTAACCTACTTAGTCGAGCCACATGATTGGGCTCGGCACATTTTATTTACTAGACCGAGCCACCTGATTGGGCTTGGCGCTCTTTGTTTACTTGACGCATTACCTGTCCGATCTCTGCTGAATCGGGCGATGGTTTGGCCTTATCGAGCTTCGCGTTTGAGCTCGCGGTTCACTTCTTACGTTGACCGCCATCGCTAGAGGTTCTCGCTTTCCCAACGCCTGGAAAAGGACGAGAACAAATAAGGGAAGGACGCAAAGCCCCAACCTCGACCTCTGCAAACTGTCGGCCGATGCAAGACGTAACCGCAACACCGTCCGAGTCTCTGGAAACAACCCCATCAGGCAACCCAAACCAGGAGAAGTAGCCTTCCTCAAAGGGGTGCCGAGGACCACCGGATCACCAACTACGAGCCAAGGTGCCCGTCCGAGCCGCAGGTGTCGCTAGAGCTGTAAACGAGCCGAGCTGAGCTCGACTCGTTAACCAATCGAGATTTAAATGAGCTCGAGCTCGGCTTGTTAAGGCCTCGAGCTCGAGCTGAGCCGAGCCGAGCTCGTTTAGTTTAACAGCACTAGTTGGGGCGGAGCCAAGATTTAAATTATCCCTAGGCTAGACTTATTGTAATGATTGATTAGTGTTATTTAATTATATAAATAATATTAAATATAATAGAGTTGAGTTTTAAAATTGAGTATTGAATTTTTGTTTTTTGAATTGAATTTATATCTAATCACATCCTTACTAAGCATATTGTAAAACTTAATCAATACATTACCGCCCATGCATTTATACATATAAATATATAGGGAATGCATAATCTCAATGCATAATCTCAACTAAAAACCTCCATCCGTGCTAATCATTAAGAAAAAGATTTTTTTTTTGAAGAAAAAAAACGAAGTCGCGCTTCTCCCCCACTCTCTCTCTCTCTCTCTCTCTCTCTCTCTCTCTTTGTGAATATGGAATCCAATCTCATTGCGGCCTTCCTACCCATCTTCCCCACATTTGACGTCGATGAATGCTCACAGGCTAAAGGCCTCATGGAAAAATTGATCGATGAGAAGAAAATTCTCACAACCCTGGACCAGAATTTGACGGGGATGGCAGAGCTCATCCTTCCGGGGGAAACCCTTTCTCAGGCTCTTACGCGTGCTTACGACAACGGGCCCGACTGGCGGTTGGCAAAGGTTGCCGCCGAAACTGTGCATTCCTTGAACATTCCGGGAAGGCGGTTTGCTGAAACCGTCTGCTACGATACTTGGACCGCCGCAAATATCGTTCAACTCCTTCAAGGAGTGCGAACGGCGGCTACCCCCGAAGCAATCGCGGCGAGGCACCGCTGGACCCGGCGCCGCACCTTGTACCTTCAGATTCTTGCTATTCTTGAGCCGAAGGAAAGCGTCCAGGATGCCTTGGACAGGCTGTTGAACGACGACGACGGCCAGGGACACGTCCGCCGCCGTCTATCAGATGCAGCGGATTGTCTGATTCACCAACTGGAGGAGCCCCCCGCTTTCAGGGATCTTGAAAAGGAAGTCTTGGAAAAAAAACAAAGTCGCCCTTCTCCCACACTCTCTCTCTCTCTCTCTCTCTCTCTCTCTCTCTGTGAATATGGAATACAATCTCATCGCGGCCTTCCTACCCATCTTCGCCACATTTGACGTCGATGAATGCTCACAGGCTAAAGGCCTCATGGAAAAATTGATCGATGAGAAGAAAATTCTCACAACCCTGGACCAGAATTTGACGGCGATGGCAGAGCTCATCCTTCCGGGGGAAAACCTTTCTCAGGCTCTTACGCGTGCTTACGATAACGGGCCCGACTGGCGGTTGGCAGAGGTTGCCGCCAAAACTGTGCATTCCTTGAACATTCCGGGAAGGCGGTTTGCTGAAACCGTCTGCTACGATACTTGGACCGCCGCAAATATCGTTCAACTCCTTCAAGGAGTGCGAACGGCGGCTACCCCCGAAGCAATCGCGGTGAGGCACCGCTGAACCCGGCGCCGCACCTTGTACCTTCAGATTCTTGCTATTCTTGAGCCGAATGAAAGCGTCCAGGATGCCTTGGACAGGCTGTTGAACGACGACGACGGCTAGGAACACGTCAGCCGCCGTCTATCAGATGCAGCGAATTGTCTGATTCACCAACTGGAGGAGCCCCCCGCTTTCAGGGATCTTGAAAAGGAAGTCTTGGAAAAAAAAACGAAGTCGCCCTTCTCCCCCACTCTCTCTCTCTCTCTCTCTCTCTCTCTCTCTCTCTCTGTGAATATGGAATCCAATCTCATCGCGGCCTTCCTACCCATCTTCGCCACATTTGACGTCGATGAATGCTCACAGGCTAAAGGCCTCATGGAAAAATTGATCGATGAGAAGAAAATTCTCACAACCCTGGACCAGAATTTGACGGCGATGGCAGAGCTCATCCTTCCGGGGGAAACCCTTTCTCAGGCTCTTACGCGTGCTTACAACAACGGGCCCGACTGGCGGTTGGCAGAGGTTGCCGCCGAAACTGTGCATTCCTTGAACATTCCGGGAAGGCGGTTTGCTGAAACCGTCTGCTACGATACTTGGACCGCCGCAAATATCGTTCAACTCCTTCAAGGAGTGCGAACGGCGACTACCCCCGAAGCAATCGCGGCGAGGCACCGCTGGACCCGGCGCCGCACCTTGTACCTTCAGATTCTTGCTATTCTTGTGCCAAATGAAAGCGTCCAGGATGCCTTGGACAGGCTGTTGAACGACGACGACGGCCAGGGACACGTCCGCCGCCGTCTATCAGATGCAGCGGATTGTCTGATTCACCAACTGGAGGAGCCCCCCGCTTTCAGGGATCTTGAAAAGGAAGTCTTGGAAAAAAAACGAAGTCGCCCTTCTCCCCCACTCTCTCTCTCTCTCTCTCTCTCTCTCTCTGTGAATATGGAATCCAATCTCATCGCGGCCTTCCTACCCATCTTCGCCACATTTGATGTCGATGAATGCTCACAGGCTAAAGGCCTCATGGAAAAATTGATCGATGAGAAGAAAATTCTCACAACCCTGGACCAGAATTTGACGGCGATGGCAGAGCTCATCCTTCCGGGGGAAACCCTTTCTCAGGCTCTTACGCGTGCTTACGACAATGGGCCCGACTGGCGGTTGGCAGAGGTTGCCGCCGAAACTGTGCATTCCTTGAACATTCCGGGAAGGCGGTTTGCTGAAACCGTCTGCTACGATACTTGGACCGCCGCAAATATCGTTCAACTCCTTCAAGGAGTGCGAACGGCGGCTACCCCCGAAGCAATCGCGGCGAGGCACCGCTGGACCCGGCGCCGCACCTTGTACCTTCAGATTCTTGCTATTCTTGAGCCGAATGTAAGCGTCCAGGATGCCTTGGACAGGCTGTTGAACAACGACGACGGCCAGGGACACGTCCGCCGCCGTCTATCAGATGCAGCGGATTGTCTGATTCACCAATTGGAGGAGCCCCCCGTTTTCAGGGATCTTGAAAAGGAAGTCTTGGAAAAAAAACGAAGTCGCCCTTCTCCCCCACTCTCTCTCTCTCTCTCTCTCTCTCTCTCTGTGTGAATATGGAATCCAATCTCATCGCGGCCTTCCTACCCATCTTCGCCACATTTGACGTCGATGAATGCTCACAGGCTAAAGGCCTCATGGAAAAATTGATCGATGAGAAGAAAATTCTCACAACCCTGGACCAGAATTTGACGGCGATGGCAGAGCTCATCCTTTCGGGGGAAACCCTTTCTCAGGCTCTTACGCGTGCTTACGACAACGGGCCCGACTGGCGGTTGGCAGAGGTTGCCGCCGAAACTGTGCATTCCTTGAACATTCCGGGAAGGCGGTTTGCTGAAACCGTCTGCTACGATACTTGGACCGCCGCAAATATCGTTCAACTCCTTCAAGGAGTGCGAACGGCGGCTACCCCCGAAGCAATCGCGGCGAGGCACCGCTGAACCCGGCGCCGCACCTTGTACCTTCAGATTCTTGCTATTCTTGAGCCGAATGAAAGCGTCCAGGATGCCTTGGACAGGCTGTTGAACGACGACGACGGCCAGGGACACGTCCGCCGCCGTCTATCAGATGCAGCGGATTGTCTGATTCACCAACTGGAGGAGCCCCCGCTTTCAGGGATCTTGAAAAGGAAGTCTTGGAAAAAAAAACGAAGTCGCCCTTCTCCCCCACTCTCTCTCTCTCTCTCTCTCTCTCTCTCTCTCTCTCTCTCTCTCTGTGAATATGGAATCCAATCTCATCGCGGCCTTCCTACCCATCTTCGCCACATTTGACGTCGATGAATGCTCACAGGCTAAAGGCCTCATGGAAAAATTGATCGATGAGAAGAAAATTCTCACAACCCTGGACCAGAATTTGACGGTGATGGCAGAGCTCATCCTTCCGGGGGAAACCCTTTCTCAGGCTCTTACGCGTGCTTACGACAACGGGCCCGACTGGCGGTTGGCAGAGGTTGCCGCCGAAACTGTGCATTCCTTGAACATTCCGGGAAGGCGGTTTGCTGAAACCGTCTGCTACGATACTTGGACCGCCGCAAATATCGTTCAACTCCTTCAAGGAGTGCGAACGGCGGCTACCCCCGAAGCAATCGCGGCGAGGCACCGCTGGACCCGGCGCCGCACCTTGTACCTTCAGATTCTTGCTATTCTTGAGCCGAATGAAAGCGTCCAGGATGCCTTGGACAGGCTGTTGAACAACGACGACGGCCAGGGACACGTCCGCCGCCGTCTATCAGATGCAGCGGATTGTCTGATTCACCAATTGGAGGAGCCCCCCGCTTTCAGGGATCTTGAAAAGGAAGTCTTGGAAAAAATACGAAGTCGCCCTTCTCCCCCACTCTCTCTCTCTCTCTCTCTCTCTCTCTCTCTCTCTCTGTGAATATGGAATCCAATCTCATCGCGGCCTTCCTACCCATCTTCGCCACATTTGACGCCGATGAATGCTCACAGGCTAAAGGCCTCATGGAAAAATTGATCGATGAGATGAAAATTCTCACAACCCTGGACCAGAATTTGACGGCGATGGCAGAGCTCATCCTTTCGGGGGAAACCCTTTCTCAGGCTCTTACGCGTGCTTACGACAACGGGCCCGACTGGCGGTTGGCAGAGGTTGCCGCCGAAACTGTGCATTCCTTGAACATTCCGAGAAGGCGGTTTGCTGAAACCGTCTGCTACGATACTTGGACCGCCGCAAATATCGTTCAACTCCTTCAAGGAGTGCAAACGGCGGCTACCCCCGAAGCAATCGCGGCGAGGCACCGCTGGACCCGGCGCCGCACCTTGTACCTTCAGATTCTTGAGCCGAATGAAAGCGTCCAGGATGCCTTGGACAGGCTGTTGAACGACGACGACGGCCAGGGACACGTCCGCCGCCGTCTATCAGATGCAACGGATTGTCTGATTCACCAATTGGAGGAGCCCCCCGCTTTCAGGGATCTTGAAAAGGAAGTCTTGGAAATTGAACTTCTCCAGATCGAAGCGGCTATTCCTGCGCCAAGCCTGGGTCGTCTTATGACCCTCGAGGCTTGGAGGACCCTGCTGTCGGAGATGTTAGGGTTTATGCTCTCCGACGAGACTGTGGCAGAGGCAATTGATAGGCACCAGAACAGAGATGAGATTGGGTCAAAGGCAAAGACGGTATGTACTCTACTGAACTTGGACATGCGTCCCTTTTTGCGTAGGGTTAATTTTGCCACTTGGGATAAGGCGAATTTGGAGATGGAACTGAAATGGGTCTTCATGGAGATTGCCGTGTTGGGCGCAATCGATGACGCAATACATTGATGAAGAAGAAACTGTGGCAAATGGAGGTCTGGAGGGTTAATCTTTAGGTGTCTCTGATTCAGGTTTTTTTCCTTGGTTAATGTTTAGTTTAATCTTTGTGATCATAATTCTTGTTTTGTCTTAGGCGTTCATTGTAGAAGCAGGTGACTTTGGTTCGTGTAGTGAGCATTGGATCATGAGCAGAGACCATGTAGTTATAACTGTTTTGTTTTCCTTTTTCCTTTATGTTTCTATTAGTTAGACGACGTCGTTTGGAGTGTTTAATACTAGTTAAGCACACGACGTCGTTTGGTCATAATGCATGTAAATAAATGGCTTGGACTCTGTACTTGCTGCGATTTTACATAATGAAAAATATCTGGTTTTCTTTATCTGGGGGAAGCTTATAAGTTGGCATACTTTCTTTCTGTGAATGCTTATAAGTTGGCATACTTTCTTTTTGTGAATAAGTTATCAGTAGAGTAGTCTTCAGATAGATTGGGGCTAAGAACAAGGTGGAAAATTTGCCAGGTGTGAAATCTCGTTGTATTCGAGGATTGCCTGATTATTATGCCTTGCGGTTCTTCTTTCCGATACTTGCCGCTCTCAAGTTGATAGTGACGCTTTCTGTTGAGTTGATGTGAAGTGATCAGAAATGGACGACTAAATAAAGCCGGCTGAATGGAGCACTAACAGGGCTGAATTGATCGATTTATGGGAAAAGATCATCGGTCTCTTTGCTTCGCATCTGGACCAAGTAGTGTAAATGAATTGTGAATGCTTATAAGTTGGCATACTCAGTTTACTACATCCTAAATGTTGATGCATGTTTTAAATTTCATTACATATTTACTCAAATTATCTTAAAATGTGCTTGGTTAAGCTTATGTGTGCATCCCCAGTGCTTTTATCTTGACCCATAGTTGTGTTTGGTAGAGAGTGTGCTTTAAAATGGAACTTGATTGCTAAACATTTCAAACTTGTGACAAAAATAAACCGGAAAAAAAACTGAAAGCAGCAAGGAAGGAACATGTAGCTAAAGTACCATAAGAGTAGTGAACAAAAGTAAAGAAAAAACGAAGAGAAAGCATCATATATGATTTGCCTAGACAAACTAAGGTTGCTGCTCTTTATCCAACAACCAAAACAAGTTCAGAAATTTGTCATTTGTGTCGGTAGAACGGCGGACCCTGATCGACATACCACGCGTACGCCGGATAATCGCAACACGGGCAAAACCGGCAATCCTCCAACCACAAAACTGCGCATCGCGAGTGAAAAACATGCTTGCAGACGAGCATGGAGACCTGATCCCCAACCTTAGCCCCCTTGGAACACACACCACACTTCTCCATGAGACTCGACCCCTGATCCTCATTCTCCACCCGAACCCTCTTCAAGTTGCTCAAGAACACAAGGAGCAAGGCAGTCATCGGCTTTACCTCTTCAACACACGTGTGAAAGGGCCACACGTACAATGGGATCATTTTTTCTGACGTGATTGCCCTCTCCAAGCACTCGTCGAGCTTTTCTCCCTTTTTCTTAACCGTGTAAACTTTGAGGTCCACAGCAATAGGAATCGGGTTGAGGGACGTGTGTTGGGGCAAATCGGCCAATTCTTGGGCGTATTCATACGCCTCAGTTGTTTAGGGATTCCATTTCCTCTATCGTCATCCAGTAATCTTTCAGCCTGTCTCGTGTAAGGATCAAAAGTGAAAGCCACGTTCATTACTGCCGACGCGCGAGTCGAATTTTTCTGAACCGATTATAGAGTCGGACATGCCATGCCTGGTTTTCGCCCTTAGTATGAAGGTGGTTCTGAATTCGAAGATAAACGATTTGGAGTCTGGAAGAAGTTCCGACTTGTACATGGATGTTATCTCGCTCTTGTCCACCAACGAGAAGTGGTGAGAGTATTCGTATCCAACTCTACCACTCATTCTTCAGTTTCTGCAATAACAAACACATCATCAATTTCTGCAATAACACAATTATAACTCAAAACAATAATACATGGATGATTATCCTCAATCAGATGAAGAAACAAGAAAACAGAAAATCGCACAAAATTCACCCAAAAACAAACAACCCCCAATCCAATATATCGGAATAACATAGCACGTAACAATAATAATCATAAATCTTCAAAAGGTGTTCCATTTTCAACGACCCTCCATTCAAAGATTCAATCTTTATTGGCCACATGAGTTTTTTTCCATCTTATCTCACAATAAATCACAACTAGGAAAGCAAATACCCCAACAACACCACTTTTTTTTTCATATATATAATTGAATAGCAGCAAGCCAAAATATAAAAATAAAAATTGAGCAAAGCCGACCTCACCTTATGAGTTTGGGAGGATTCTCTGTCTGAGCAACGAATTTGGACAAGCACCCGGCCGATCTGGGTCATACGAGGAAATTCAGTTTCACCTACGAAGATATATAATAGGATTTTCAGGACTTTTTCCTATCCTATCACGGATTGGACTTTAGGCTCCTTTCGTGCTATAGGTTTATTGCCGAGCCTAGCCAAAAAGACAAAGGTAGAGAGAAAAGATTATCTATATATTCCTAAAATTTAGAAAAATATTATTTTTAATGTAATTGTATTTTTGTTTCCCATTATCATGAGTTTTTAATTAAAAAAATCGCGAGAATTCCAACGTTTTAAATAAATATTTCATTCGACTGTAATAATAAATTATTGAAAAAGAAAAATGACAGTTAAAAATTATCAAATTGCAACTATAATTTTAAAATGATTTAGTTGCAAACTCGACATCTTCTTCTGATTCTGAGCAACGAAATTGGAGAGGCTGCTGTTTCTTTTTTTTATTTTTATTTTTTATTTTAATTTTATATATGAGAAATTCACTTGGGTACGAAGACGTATACGGTATATTTGAGATAATTACTTGCACACTACAGTTTTACTTCTAGCAGCTTTAGGAATAGGACTTTTCCTATCCTATAAGGAATTGGTTATTGTTTGCTTTAGTTATGATAAGAGAAAAGATGATCTCAAACGTAATATTACTAAAATTAAGGAAAATATTATTGTTTTTGTAATTGTATTATATTATTGTTTTTGTAATTGTATTACTACATAATTTTTTTCCCAACTCTTCCTTTTCATCTTACAATATAATAATTTTGAACTAAAATAATAATATTATTTTTATATGGCGATGCCGATAGCAATTAAAGTCTGATGACTCTGATGTAAAATTTTATTATAATTGATTTTTATAAACAATTTTTTAATATTTATTATAAATATAATTAATATTGTTATATAAAGTTGAACAATGTAATTACAAAAGGGACAATGATTAGTCTATTACAAAAATTACATGGGGGAAAAGAAAAGAAAAAGGAGGAAAATAAATGAATTAATGTGTCTCCAAAATACTATTCCTCACTGGTTTTGCCCTGCAGGGCATCTGCCAAGTTAAAATTCAAATTGCCTCTCATTGTTCTTGAACCAACCCCTGGGCTACCTTTTCTCATCATCGTTGCGAATTCTCCATAATCTATACGTCCATCCTGCACAAATATCACAGTCAAACATTTTCATGATTTCAACTCTTAACTTTGCAAATAGCTACAAAAACTTGTATCAAACGACGAAAATTGATGAGTATTTCCATTTTTGGTATTTAGATATAACTTAATTAGTGGAATCAACATAATTTTCTGATTCGCGTCCAATCAGTAAGATGCAAGACATGACACTTACATTGTCTATGTCTATTTCTTTTATAATTTCGTCTAGCTTAACTTCTCCAAGGCCAAAATCTTTGCAAGCCTGTTGAAGCTCATCGATAGTAATATAACCACTACCATCTTTGTCGAAGAAGGAAAATGCAGCAAGTAGATTTTCTTCCCTTTCCATCTTATTCATATGTAAGGTTGCTGCTAAAAACTCACCGTACTCTATAGTCCCACTGTTGTCAGTGTCAGCCTGTATTAAAAAGGATCATCACAAAAGAAAAGATAAAAAAGGGAAATTTATATATAGTTCAGAATTACAAATGTCCCTTGAGAAGAAAATATAAGGTGCTGTTTTGTAATCAGGCTAAGTTTCAATAGTACACCTTCTATTTTTTTTTATTTTCTATTTTTATATCATTTTCAAGAAGAAACATACCGCACTCATTAGCGCTTTGATCTCGGATTCCATTAGTTCAGAGCCTACTCTTTTCAAACCTTGTTTGAGTTCCTCGAATGTTATTGTTCCACTGTTGTCTGTATCTATCATTTTGAATAATTGTCTCAATCCACCAATTTCTTCTTCTGAAAGTCTTTCTGCTATAACCTGCATGGACATTTTCACAAGTAAAGCCATCTTCAAACCTAAGCAAAATGCTATTTTTATTCTGGCTTGAGGGGGTGAAACTACTTGTTCTGAATGAAGCTAAACTTGCAGAAAAAGGCATAAATTTATTCAAGTTCTCAATTTAGGCCAATTGATCACCGATTTTTTTTTTTTTTTCAGAGAAACTTTGCTTAGAATATCCTTGTGCTCCACATTTCAGCCAAACCCAGTGGCACAGTAACAATTTTTGCTCATATGGAAATCTTCTAGGTACCTTGTTTTGCTCGACAAAAAGACCCTTAAGATTCGCAGCAAAAATATTTTAATTCCCAACTAAGGATATAGCCTTAGTTTTTTAGCTTATAGCCTTAGTTATTTGGTAAAACTAGCTGATAAGCTAGCTTATAGCTTATTTGTAATTTTTTAGCTTATAGCTTATAGCTTATGACTTGTAGCTGAAAAGCTAGCTTATATGATAAAAGTGTTTGGTAAAATTAACTGATAAGCTAGCTGAAATAAAAAATTCAACTAGCTTATTTGAAAAACTACCTAAAGTAGCTTATGAGATAAGCTCGGGCTTTTTAAAAAAGCTCGTCCTACCAAACGAGGCTTATTTGAATACAGAGGACTTATAAGCTAACCAAATAAGCTATAAGCTAGCTTATTTGGCTTACCAAACACAGCCTAAGACTGTTGCTTTTTTTACAAAAAATATAGAGGCTTATCTGAAAATCATAATGTCTTGATTACAGCACTAAGTCAGGAAATTTACAATTTTCGCCTGAATTTGAATTGCAGCAATGCAGCTGTATATGTATAATTCATCAACAGAGGATGTCTCATGTCACACGTGACGATTATCTTTTGATTTTTTGGCAAAATTTAATTCAAAGAACCACAGAAAATACAGATATAAATAAAATTCACAGAAAGACAAAATTCGAGAAAACATACACGTAGAGCCATCTTCTTGAGTTTGTTCATGGCAGAAAACTGCTTCAGCCGACACAATACTGCCGATCCCAAGGGTTCGTCTGGTGCAACCGTGTCATCCACAATCCAAGGATGGCCTGTTCACCAAGAGCCAATTTTGTTCTTATAAGGAGTAAATCAAAACTAAACAGTTGATACTCACTTCCAATTCAAATTACATTTCCAAGTCCAAGCCACTTTAGTTCAGCTTATTTATAGAATAAAACCCTCATTTTTCCTATCATTGTCCCTAAATATTGTTAAACATCCACTTGAGTTTGCATTCATCTAATAGATACATAATGATCTTATTTGTAATGGTTATAGGGCTCTTTTGTAACTAAAGTTAAGGGTAGTTTTCTGCAATTTAACTCACATAGAACTTGATGTGCAGTGATGCGCTGCCTGGGGTTTCTGTCGAGCATCTTCCTTACGAGATCCTTTGCGCTGTCTGAAATTTGGGGCCACGGGTCGGATTCAAAATCGATCTTCCCTTTCAAAATTTGTTTGAAGATACCATTATCCGTTTCTGCAAGTTAAAATGATTCATTAGGCTCAAGCAAGCACTGAGAAGAAAAAAATAAGCAAATAAATATTTGGGCAAACTACAAAAACACCCTTCAGATTCATCCAAATAAAGAGAAGACCATTTATCTTTCAGAATTATGAAACACTTCCTTAGTATTTGTAAAGAGGGGTTTGTAATTGGATTAATTGGTAAATTCGATAAATTACTCAAAGTATGAGGATTGAAATGAAAGGGATTTACCTGCCCAGAAAGGGGGAACCCCACTTAACAGTATGTAGAGTATAACACCAGCACTCCATACATCAATTTCAGGTCCATAGTATTTGTGCAACACTTCTGGTGCAACATAGTAAGGACTTCCAACTACGTCCGAAAGATAATGACCTGGAAAAGTGGAGTTAAGCAACATGGCTAGTTATTATAAAAAGTAAATGATAGATTGAAAAGACTGCTCCTAAATTATCCAAATTGCAACAAAACACATTTCACAAACAATGTATTCATTTGACGAAAGACACTTCAAAATATTGAAGTCTCCTCTGAACACGATATTTTACAAAATGTCCGATTTTTTTTCACGATTATTGAACTTTTACGGGTAATTTCATATTTGTTATGTATAAGAGTCACTTCTATTTCTACACCTTGAATTACGAATACAAGGATTGGCAACCGATACATAGAAAGTACACACAGCAGCCTATATTATTTCGCAGCACCTCCATAGACAGGCGATAATTTTAATCGAAATTGACAGCACTATTTGAACATTTTCAGAAATCAAATTTTCACATAATATAATATCCTGCACTTTAATTGCAGCTGGACAATGTTAATGCTAATTTAGTACCGCATTAAACTCATCACATTGTCCTCCAAAAAAAAAAAGGAGGAGGAGGATCATCACTCATTGCCCAACACATCGATTACAGATCAAAAAGCAGCAAACTTTACCCACAAAAGTAACATAGAAAAACACAAAACAAAAACCCATGTCTAATTTTCCCCAACATAATCAACTCAAAACCAGAAATCAAATGGATCAACCAAAAAAACAGTGAAAAAAAAAACATAAATCTGAGTACATAACCATATACCTGGCTTATAAAAAACAGACAAACCGAAATCCGTCGCCTTAAGCTTCGCATCCTCATCAGCCGAATCGAACAGAAAATTCTCTGGCTTCAGATCCCTATGCATCACCCCAAGAGAATGACACGCCTCGACCACACCCACAATCGTCTTCATAAGCTGCGCGGCTTTCCTCTCGCTGTAATGTCCCTTCTGCACAATCCGATCGAAAAGCTCCCCTCCGGCGCAAAGCTCCATAACCAGGTGCACGAAGACGCTGTCCTCGTACGTCCCCTTGATCCTGACGACGTTCGGATTCTCGGACAGGTGGTGCATTATCTGAATCTCCCTCCATACGTCGTCGTAGTCCTCCCGGCAGAGAAGCTTGCGCTTGGGGATCGATTTGCAGGCGTACTCGATGCCGGTGGCTTTTTCCACGCAGTGGTAAGTGGTGCCAAATTGGCCCTGCCCTAGTTTTCGGCCGAGGTTGTAATGGTCCCTCAGCCGAGGCGTTTGGTAGGGGAGCACGGCGGAGGACGGCCGTGAGGACGATGAAGATGAAGATTGCTTCATTTTTCTTTTATTTTTTATTTTTATGGAATGTTAATGGGGAAATTATTAAGGGGGATAAAATGATTATGTGTGTGTTTAATGGATTTTAATGGACATTGTTTGGTCTTCGGTCAACGGGATTTGGCGGGTTAGTGGTGGGGCTTGAAGAGTTGTATTTGGCCGCACGACTTTGTTGATAATTGGAATATGTAAATAGTTTATGGGGCAAATTTTTATTTTTGGTTAAATTGGCCTTTGTCCAAAAAATACAATTCAATATCGAAAATACAAGCCAAAAAAAATAAAAAATGAGGAAATGCAATTCACTGTTTTTAGTTCGTCCGATGACCTAGTGGTAGAATATTCTTGTCAAGACAATCGTATTCACACATTTTTAGCTGTGGATTTGTCCGGTCAATTTTCTGTTTAAAATAATTTAAATTGTTTTTTTTTTCTTCTAATCC